TGTGTGTGTGTGTGTGTGTGTGTGTGTGTGTGTGTGTGTGTGTGTGTGCGTGTGCGCACGCGGTGGGGGGGTGCACCTCAAGGTTTACGAGGACGCTCTGAGACGTGTGACCTGTAGTTTAGCTGCAGACTTTGTTGTGCGTGTCGTGTTGCAGCTCAGGACAGCGTGAACGAGCACCGCCTTTATCTCTGTGGTAGAAAGCAGTAGCCTCGCCGCACGCCCTCCAGAAGAGACGACATCCTAATTACAGTGTGTGCGCCGACGACACCGAGCGTGTGATTACAGCGGCGCGCTGACGGCTCCAGCGCACAAAAACAAAAGCGCGCGTGTCGCCTAAAGTGTGAAGTGTGTGTGATCATGTGTTTGCCAAATGCTTTGGTGAGAGCGTTTGCATCTCAGAGTGTGTGTGAGAGCAGGAAAAAGAGCCGTCACAGTGTGTTAAAGTGCTTTTTAATGAGCTGGAGCTCTTACAAATGGACTGAGCGTGTCGTGTGGCTCACGCTGAAAAGGCGGCGATGAGAGCTGTTAGGAAGCAGCCAGAAGCTGTTGTGTTGACGCTAATTGTCTTCATTTTCTCCGACTGAAAGCAGCTTCGCTGGACAGATTTCAGGCGGCCGTTTGTTGCTAACGAGCGCCCGCCTTCTTCAAGTGACGGCGCTGATAGCTTTGACGCTCTCGGCTCTCAGAACAGGAATTGACAGGGAGAGTGAGACAGGGGGTGAGCTCTGTGTGTGATGGTGCTTAGACATGGTCACAGGTGAGGGGAGGAGCAGAGTGTGACGGTGACAGCGTCACCTAGACCAGCCCTCGCCCCAAAAACGTATGCTGGAGTTTTCCTCCCCACTGTCGCCAAGCGCTTGCTGGCCTGTTATGGTGCAATTGTTGGGGTTTCCCTGTGTTATTCCAGGGGCTCTACCTTACAGTACAAAGCAGCCTGAGGCAGGCGTCATCATGGAGAAGTGATGGAACTGTGTCACAGCGGGGGACACGGGGACACAGCGGGGACACAGGGAAACACAGCAGGGACACAGGGAGACACAGCGGGACACAGGCGGAAAAAGGGAGACACAGCGGGGACACAGGGACACACAGGGAAACACAGCAGGGACACAGGGAGACACAGCGGGACACAGGCGGAAAAAGGGAGACACAACGGGGACACAGGGACACACAGGGAAACACAGCAGGGACACAGGGAGACACAGGGACACAGGCGGAAAAAGGGAGACACAGCGGGGACACAGCGGGACACAGGGAAACACAGCAGGGACACAGGGAAACACAGCGGGGACACAGGGAGACACAGGGAGACACAGCGGGGACACAGGGAAACACAGCGGGGACACAGGGAGACACAGCGGGGACACAGCGGGGACAAAGCGAGACACAGCGGGGACACAGGGAGACACAGCGGGGACACAGGGAGACACAGCGGGGACACAGCGGGGACACAGCGAAACACAGCGGGGACACAGGGAGACACAGCGGGGACACAGGGAAACACAGCGGGGACACAGCGGGGACAAAGCGGGGACACAGGGGGGACACAGGGAAACACAGGGGGGACACAGGGAGACACAGCGGGGACACAGGGGGACACACTGGGGGCACAGGGGGACACAGCAGGGATACAGTGGGGACACAGGGGGACACAGCAGGGGAGTGGGCACCTCAGTGTGTGTGTGTGTGTAGCACCTATAATGACTTCGTGAGGATGCCTCCATCACAGATCTTTTGGATTTTGAGACATGATGCTGAGGTTGGCTAAAGGTGAGAATGAAACATGAGTTCAGGTGA